AAGAATCAGGTCTTACTACTCACCCTCTCTACCCTATGCATCAGGTCTTACTACTCACTCCCTCTACCCTAAGAATCAGGTCTTACTACTCACCCCCTCTACCGTAAGAATCAGGTCTTACTACTCACCCCCTCTACCCTAAGAACCAGATCTTACTACTAACCCCCTCTACCCTAAGAATCAGGTCTTACTACTTACTCCCTCTACCCTAAGAATCAGGTCTTACTACTCAACCCCCTCCCCTAAGCAGTAGTTTATACTCACAACTTTCACAGTTGCCTCCAGTATAACCAGAAGGACACAGGCATTTGTAGCCACTGATCGCGTTCTTATCCTCGCAGCAACTGCCTCCATTCAAACATGGTTTACGAGTACAGATGCCAGAGGCTAAAGGTAATATGAAATATGTATAAGTAAGAATTCCTCTTGCGTATATAGGACTCTTGCAGCTCAATACAGCTCAATCTGGGGGCAAAACAATAGGTTCCAATTCTCAGGAGATTGGCATTCTTTTGTTTTGTCCCCCAGATCGAGCTGCTTTGACGTCAAATACAAGGGGTCTATTCATTTGAATAGGTGTTGTTAATAAGATATCTACGCAATCAAAAGGTGCCATTTTTACTCAAGGTATACCGTGGTGCAAATGTCGTCCAGGAGGATCAGCTAGAATTTAGAGCCGTCTCCTGCCTCGCACTGGTCTCTTCCTGCTTCTTCCTTGCCCTCTCATGATCTACCCTTGACTAGTCATATACCTGGCCCCCTCTTACACACCGTCTTGCCCCTCCGATCTCGCCCTGTCCCCCTCCTATCACACCCTGGCCCAATCTTATCTTGCCCTGGCTCGCTCCTACTCTGCCGTGGACCCCTTCTATCTCGCTCCCACCCCGCCGTGGCCCCCTCTTATTTTGCCCTAGCCTGCTTCTACCCCGGTGTGGCCCCCTCCTATCTTGCCCTAGCTCGCTCCTACCAAGCCCTGACCCCCTCCTATCTTGCCCTAGCTTGCTCCTACCCCACCCTGACCCCCTCCTATCTTGCCCTTGTCCCCTCCTACTCTGTTCCTAAACCCACCCTACTTTTCATTTAAGTGACTCACCAGTTTCACATCGGGTTCCCACGTATCCTGGAGGACAGCGACAGAACCAAACACGAAGTCTACTGGAAATACCGCATGTACCACCGTTGAGACAGATGTGGGGTTTACATCGGCTGCACTCTGTTGAAACACATATATAGGTTCAGATACTACATACTGGATAATAAACTATAGAGGATTTTTACCATCACGTGACGGCAGCCAGCTTGATGGCAGGAACAATACAATCGTTTTAGAACGAGAATCAATTCCTGAGAGAAAAGAGGTTTCATTGTTCTGTCATCTAACCACAGGCAGCCCAAGCTGTATTATGGAGCGCAAAACCTCTATACACGTAACAGAAGTCCAATGATAAGGAAAAGCCCGCACATGGTATATATATATATACACTTACTTCTATTACATGTGGCCCCAACGTATCCAGGTTGACATGCACATCTGTAGCCGTTCACCTCATCGTGACATGTTGCACCATTCTGACATGGATTCTTGGAACACATGTCGATGACTGTAAAAACAAACCAAGTATTTAGAGGTCAAATAGTAATTAATATTTAATATTGGGAAAATAAAACATCCTTTTGCGTGTTTCATTGAATAATACAGAATACATGGGGTGAAGAAAGCACCGAAGAAGAGTGAAGAGAAGCCGTAAGTAAGTGATTTTTACACTTCTTTGCAAGGTTGCTTGCACGGATCTATTCACTGATATTGCACAGTTTTCAACCAATGTGAGCAGATTTTACACTTCTTTACAATGTAGGTTACGCGCACGGAACGTCCGCCACCGTCCTCTGTTCACTAATATTGCACAGTTTTTAACTAATGTGAGCGCGGTTACCGAGGTGACTAAATCTAAAGATTTAGTGTGCGATGTTAATGATTTCACACTCATGTTTAAAGTGCTCTTTTCCCCCCTCAGACTAACAGAGCTCCTTATTACGGGTATTTAAAGTTAAAGTTACACAGAACAGAGAGAAGTCAAGACTGACTGTGGACCTCTAGCTCTGAAGACTGTACACTAACCAACTGAGCTACGCCTGAGCTAAACCGAACAGAGAACAGTCGAGATCCTAAGAATCAAACTGTGGACCTCTAGCTCTGAAGCCTGTACACTGATCCACTGAGCTACGCCTGAGCTAAACCGAACAGAGAACAGTCGAGATCCTAAGAATCAAACTGTGGACCTCTAGCTCTGAAGCCTGTACACTGATCCACTGAGCTACGCCTGAGCTACACAGAACAGAGAGAAGTCGAGATCCTAAGAATCAAACTGTGGACCTCTAGCTCTGAAGGCTGTACACTAATCAACTGAGCTACGCCTGAGCTACACAGAACAGAGAGAAGTCGAGATCCTAAGAATAAAACTATGGACCTCTAGCTCGGAAGGCTGTACACTAACCAACTGAAATACGCCTGAGCTACACAGAACAGAGAGAAGTCGAGATCCTGAGAATCAAACTGTGGACCTCTAGCTCGGAAGCCTGTACACTAATCAACTGAGCTACGCCTGAGCTAAACCGAACAGAGAGAAGTCGAGATCCTAAGAATCAAACTGTGGACCTCTAGCTCTGAAGGCTGTACACTAATCAACTGAGCTACGCCTTAGCTTCACAGAACAGAGAGAAGTCGAGATCCTAAGAATCATACTGTGGACCTCTAGCTCTGAAGGCCGTGTACTAATCAACTGAGCTACGCCTGAGCTACACAGAACAGAGAGGTCGAGATCCTAAGAATTATACTGTGGACCTCTAGCTCTGAAGGCTGTACACTAATCAACTGAGCTACGCCTGAGCTACACAGAACAGAGAGGTCGAGATCCTAAGAATCAAACTGTGGACCTCTAGCTCTGAAGGCCGTGTACTAATCAACTGAGCTACGCCTGCTTCTAGTACAAAATCATCGAAAACTTACTAATATAATACTTACGTTCAGTGCACTGTTGACCCTTCCAACCGGCCGGACAATGACAGGTGTACTTGTTCACGCCGTCAATACAAACACCTCCGTTCTTACAAGGCTTCGAAGCACAGTCATCTACGTCTAAAAGGGTTAGCAATGATTCGCAATTAATCTCAATCTCAGTTTAGAAAGAGTTGTTAAGGTGTTTTTATGCTTGGATAGGTATTAAAGATTATGTACCCGTTTAATAAACGAGCAGGAGTGTTTTATCGGGTATTTTTATACTTCGATAGAGATTTGACGTCACGGGCATGCGCAACCAGATTCAATAGAAGCTCCCACACGTTGGATATTGCGTGTCAAGGCAAAGACAGGCACGTTAGTCAAAGATTTTTAGGGTTGACTATGACCTTGATAAAGCTCTATGTCTTCATCTAAACTTGGATGCATACTTCATCCCTGATGAAGTCATCCTCATAGCATTCGAGTGGTCTTTATATAAAGACACATGTGTCTTTATATAAAATCACTTGAATACTAATGACGAGGACTTTATCGGGTATAAAGGTTCATGCACGAAACGTGTATGGTGGCTCCAATTGGACCATAAGCTTATGAATTATTAATGAGTGTTTTTATAAGCAAATTTTCTCATAAACAAATTACAGCCAGGAGGAATTTTTTCTTTAATTTGAGAATTATGATACAAAATTGCTTACTTATTTGGCATCTGTCTCCAGTAAATCCTACGACGCATTTACATCGGTAACTGTTGACTTTGTCTTCGCAAGTGCCGCCATTGAGGCAAGGGACAGAGGCACACTCGTTAATGTCTACACAGAAAAGAAAACAGAAGGACGTTATAAATCAACATTATCATGTCTCAACCATTTTAACAATAGGTTTCGTCCGTTTGCTTTATTTTAACGACATTAGATTTCTGGTTGACGATTTAAACATAGTTAATGGAGTGGAATGGTTTGGAAACTCCATAGAAAAAAGGTATAGAACAAAATCAAAACCCGCACCGATGTGAGGCTTAAGTTGTGAACAAAGGGATCTGGCGTGACTCAAAGTAATCTGGCGTGATTCAAAAGTCACAAATCACGCCAGATTCCTTTGTTCACAACTTAAGCCTCACATCAAAGCAACACGAGTTAGCATAGCTCAGAAATTATCTTTGGAGGTTTACAATTTTCTCCACCCTACCCCCTCACATATTAGGCATTAGCCAACCCCTTCATCCAGGTAGCTTATCTGAGATATGTAATTGAATTCGCACCTTGTTCACAGTTATCCCCTCGGTATCCTGCTGCGCATGTACATCTGTAACCGTTGACCAGGTCATAGCATAATCCTCCATTCTTGCAAGGCTTGGAAGCGCATTCATCTACGTCTGAAGTGATTTGAAGATTGTTAGGGAAAGGAAGGAGGCGGGAATGAATATAATCGGACGTGAAATGACAGACAGATAAACAGACAGACAAGCAGACAGACAGACAGACAGACAGACGAACAGACCGACAGACAAACAGACAGACGAACAGACAGACAAACAGACAGACAGACGAACAGACAGACAGACAAACAGATAAACAGACAGAGAAACAGATAAACAGACAGATAAACAGACAGAGGAACAGACAGACAGACGAAAAGACAAACGAACAGACAGACAGACAGACGAACAGACAGACAGACAGACAGACGAACAGACAGACAGACAGACGAACAGACAGACAGACAGACAGACAGACGAACAGACAGACGAACGAACAGGCAGACAGACAGACGAACAGACTGACAGATAGACGGGCACATAGACGGACAGATACAATGTAACGACTTACTTAATTCACACCGAGTTCCTGTGTATCCCTTGGTACATTTGCAGGTAAATTTGTTTACTCCATTGATACAAGTTCCTCCGTTCTGGCAAGGTCGGCCAACACATTCATCGATATCTGAAACACAAGACAAGACATTCAAATACGTTCTTCAACCCAGTCAAACAACTTAATTATTTCAGGAACGGAACTTATGAATGCAACTCAAACAAAAAGTCTTATTCTCAAGAAAATAGGAAAACTTAACTCCCAAGGTAAAGAGGTTTATTCAGGGGCGAAGCCTAGGACTTGGGCTGAATTGTTTGCACCAACCCCTCCCCCATGACAATTTCAATTGTTTGCACCGACCCCTCCCCATGACAATTTGCATTGTTCTCACCAACCCCTCCACATGACAATTCGAATTGTTTGCACCACCCCCTCCCCCATGCCAATTTGATTTGTTTTTACCAACCCCTCCCCCATGACAATTTCAATTGTTTGCACCGACCCCTCCCCATGACAATTTGCATTGTTCTCACCAACCCCTCCACATGACAATTCGAATTGTTTGCACCACCCCCTCCCCCATGCCAATTTGATTTGTTTTTACCAACCCCTCCCCCATGCCAACTTGAATTGTTTTTACCAACCCCTCCCCCCATACCAACTTGAATTGTTTTTAACAACCCTTCCCCCATGAACTTACCCACTTCACAATTGGTACCCATGAATCCTGGTTTACAAGTACACGTGTAGGAGTTGACTCTGTCTGTACACACCGCATTATTCTGACATGGGTTGGAGTCACATTCATTGATTTCTGTAATCATCAATAAAACACAGTATAAACAATCACCATAGTGACCATGACGTCAAGATGGTGATCAAGATGGCGTCCATCACGTGTCAATAGCGACCTTTAGATACGACGACGAGTACGAGATCGAGAAAGAGTACGAGTTTTAAAATTGGTCCTGTACACGTGGTTAACACTAAATCGTAGTCGATTTCCGATTTTTTACAATCTAAAGTTTCAATCTACGTACACGATCACGACTACAAAAAGATAGTGCCTCTCTTTAAAAGTTAAACACTCGTACTCGTACTCGTACTCGTTCTCGTACTCGTTCTCGTTCTCGTACTTGTCGTTGGATCTAAAGGTCTCTAATCATATAATGACAACAGACTTGGCAGCCATGTTGGATGATATGACAAAAGAAACCAACGATTAAGAACGATCACCAGATCGCCATAACGTATTATTATATTTCAAGAAGCTTTTCAGTTTTTAGCGAAGAAAAAGTTACAAGGACAAACCTGTTTGGCAGGTATCTCCAGTATAGCCTGGTGCGCATGTGCACTTGAAGCCATTTATCAAGTCAGTACAAACCCCTTTGTTCTTACAAGGAGCAGATGCGCAATCGTCGTGATCTAAAAAAAAAGAACCATGAACGTAAGAACATGAAACACCCCTATTGTTTTTCGTTACTAGAGCCTTTTAGAAGCCAAAACCAGGCTAAACCAACACGTTTTACATATTGTAGCCAATACATTCATTCATTCATTAGCTTTTCCCATGAGGGCAGGGACACAACACCAGCTTTTATGCCAAATACAGTGGCCCCTGTAGAGTTTTAGCACGGGCACTGAAGATGATCGTCACCAGCTTCTGAAGTGGTTTTTTTACGTCCGCCTATACAGAGTTCTTTTTGTAGAAATACAGAATACTTTTCTTTACTTTGCAAAGTGAATTGCAGCTTCATTTATCGTGGTAAATTATAACTAGAATCTTTTAGAAGCGAAAACATTTTTTGGTATAGATAAAGAATTCTTTTCTTTACTTTCGAAAATAAAAAAGGTAATGTAATTTTCTTTCTTTCGGAAGACGTGGGTCTAGCCAATGAGATAGCTCGTTTTAGGTACAACCAATCAGATAACTCGTAATAACATCCATACTGACTGCTGTTACATCTAGCCAATGATATAGCTCCTTTTAAATACAACCAATCAGATAACTCATACTAACATCCATACTGACTGTTATTACATCTAGCCAATGAGATAGCTTGTTTTAGGTACAACCAATCAGATAACTCATATTAACATTCGTACTTACTGTTGTTACATCTAGGTCCTGTATAACCCGGATTGCAGGAACAAGTGTAGCCATTGACTTTATCAGTACAAGACCCGTGTACGCAAGGATTGCTTGCGCATTCGTTGATGTCTTCAATAAATAAAGATTGGTAAATATAAGTCACGTGATTCATCGAGCCACGATGACGACCTTTGCTTTATTAAGTCACCTGATCAGTCAACTCACGTGATATATTAAGTCACGTGTCGCACGAAGTCAGGATCGTGTTCAATAGGCCTCCCCGACTTGGGCGTAAATGTTTTCCCATTTAAGACCACGTGTTATTGCCTACAGTCCTATGAGAAGACACGTGAATATGGATACAACTCAAACAAAGAATCTTATTCTCAAGGTAATGTCACGTGGTCTGAAATGGAAAAACATTACGCCCAAGCCGAACAGGTCTATTTTGCATTGATTCTACCATCTATTATTCACGTGATTCAAATCACGTGATACATTAAGTCACGTGTTATATCAATCAAATAATTTACTACTTATCATATTCCCCACGTGTGAATCATGTAACCTACCCTCTTCACAGTTTGCTCCACGGTAGCCTGGGGCGCAGTTGCATCTGTAAGAGTTGATGCCATCAATACATTCACCACCATTTGCACAAGGATTTGACGCGCAGTCATCGATGTCTAACAAAATAATAAAAAATAAATTGGTTATGTAATTATGTACGTTAACGAATAAATTGATTTATGATCCATCCATCCATCCATCCATCCATTCCTCCATCTATCCATCC